CCGCAGTGGGCGCGGGCGCGTCGCGCGCCGGACAAAAGAGCGACCCTTCGCCCCCCCCCGCCCGCGAACGGGCGGGGATAAGGCGCCGAGCCGACCCCCCCACCGACGGCGCCGCGGCCGCGCGCCCCTCTCCGCCCCTCCAGGTTCGGGAATCTGAACCTGACTCCCTTTCGATCGACCGGGGGCGACGTAGGCCATCGCCCCGCGCTTCCGAACGACCCCTCCGCCCCCGGGAAGAGGGGCCCGGGGCTGGGCGGAGCGCCCGGAGGCCTCGTTATCCCCCTGATAAACCCGTCTCCGAATCTTGGCCGTCCCACGAAACGAAAAACACGTACGACTCTCAGCGGTGGATCACTCGGCTTGTGCATCGATGAAGGACGCAGCTAGCCACGAAAACTAATGTGAATTGCAATACACATTGATCATCGACATTTCGAATGCACCTTGCAGCCCCGGGTCCCTCCTGGGGCCACGCCTGTCTGAGCGTCGCTTCGTCATCGATCGGGAAGAGGGCGCGCGGGTGCGCCCCCCTCCTCGGAGGGGGGCACGGCCCTCGTCCCCCTAAGTGCAGACCCGACTGTCCCCCGCCCCTCGCCGGGCCCGACCACCGCGTTGGGCTTTCACATGACAAAACGCCTCCATGGTGGCGCTGACATTCAAACACGGCGCTATATACAACAGAACTTACGATGTCAGCCTATCATCAATCCCGTTACTTGATTAACATACAGGGCAGCCAGTCAGATGACTGAATCTCCGCGCATGTGCAAACGACGCTAAGCGTTAAAATAGTCACCGAATTACCTCTGATTTTAAGGCAGGGGTACCCAATATGTCAATGGCGATCGACCGGGAGCCAATGGACTGCTCCCAAGTCGACCGCAAGGGTTGGGAGGAGGAAATGGGAGGGCGGGGGTTGTGGAACTGTGTGTCTGTGTTTCGATTTCCTTCATGTTCGATGACGTTCTGGCTGTCGCTCATCTCGGCGTGCGTGTGTGCGTGCATATGCGCATATGCTTGCAGGTGCGCGATTGGGTCGATTGCGGGAGGTTTGTCGCTTCAATAGTCGATCTTCGGTCAAATATGTAGCAAACTGACCCAAGTAAGTAACCACTGCAGCTCACATACAGACAGTGCCCTGTGTGTGTGTATGCGTGTGTGTGTGGGGGGGGGGTGTGTGGAAGGGATGCAGTGATGTTTATGTGTGCCCATGTGCATGATGTGGCTCTTTGCAATAACAGTTCAAAAAATTGTCTCTTTGTCTCTGACGGCTGGCCACCGTTGCTTTCGATTAAAGCGCGTTCGTGAAGGTGAACCATAGTGGCCAGCAGGGAGCAGCATAACCAAAGATGTTCGTTCATTAAATCGAGCAGTTTTTTTTTCAGCAATGGGTTGGAATTTTTTCAAAAATGGAAGGATGAATCAAAGAAAGAAATTGAAAAAAGGCAGGGGCACTTATTTATACACAGTTGTATTTCGTTCGATAAACATTTTCAGTAATTTTTGGGATTACCCAATACAATTGTGCGCAATGTGTTAATGATTCAAACATTTTGTCTTTTTTTTTTTTTTTTGCTCTATAGACGGTTACGGTTGTTCTATAGATCAGGAATATGCTAAATAATTGAAATAAAGATAGTCTCTTCAAACTAGTCAGAGAGAGAAACGGCATTTAGATGCTTCTGTTGGTTCTTAAAAATAAATATTAAGACGAGATCAAGTTTTACACTTGAAGTTCATTTCATTGTTGTCATTTTCCTGTTCTCGGCTTTGCCAGCAGGTGGCAGACTGAACGGTCTTGATCAGGGGTGTCAAACTCATTTCACATGGTGGGCCACATGCGGCCTCGGTAGATGTCAAGTGGGCCGGACCATTAAAATGATACCATACTTTGCTATAAATAACCAAAACAACATGTCTTTCCTTTGTTTTGGTATAAAGAAGCACAAGAACATTAGGAAAATGTTGAAATTAAATGAACATATCTTTTACAAAACATTTCATGAAGCACCTTACATTTCCTTCGACAAATGTGCAATTTACTTTTATCATTCACATAATCTAAAGGTAATCCCTGCCTACACCTTACAAACTAAGGAGAGTGCTATTAAATGTGTAAATGTGAGAGTGCTATTGAAAGCGTCTGCTGTCATGGGTCTGTCTCAGTGACGGACTGAGGCTGCTGTTGTCTTCTTTTCTGATCAAAACAGTGTCCCCTTGCGGATACTCAAAGAATTGCACATTATTAAAAATATTAATTCTGTGTCTTTAATGCTTTTTTTTCACTTTTAAATTATCCTGCGGGCCTGATTGAACCTCCTTGCGGGCCGGTTTATGTTTGACAACCCTGCTTTACATAATCATCTCGCGGGCCGGATTAAACTCCTTTGCGGGCCGGATACGGCCCGCGGGCCGTATGTTTGACAGCTCTGGTCTTGATTGTTGCACAACTGCTGCCAATCTGGCAATTCGGGAACTCTGTAATTATGGACCAAAAAAAAAGAAAGCTGGTTGTCGGAGCATTGGTTTGTCTTGCTGCTTTCCTTGCTCATAGACCTTTGCTATAGACCTCGTCGTATTCGCTATTTGATCTCTCGGTATCATTGGTTTTGTAAGTATTGTTTTTTGTTTTAGTGAATTGGTTTTGCTGCGAGTATTTTATACATTGTTTTTCATTTGTAGTCTCACGTTTGTTTTCCTTCCTTGCCTTGAGTGCAAGCGCTTTTGGTTATCGTTTAGTTTCTGTGCTCCCTGGTCCTTGTTTTGACCAGCGCTTTATGTTCATACTTTGTTGGTGCGATTTTTGTATATTAAACATTTTTTGTTACGGAGTCCTTGTCTGGAGTTTATAATTTTTGGGATCCAAAACATTATTCGGTTTGACCAAAACATGACAATCGTGCAACTCATCAAAGTGTCTGTCAAATTACTGCGGTCAAGCCAGCCTCCACTCGCAAAATTGAAGTCAAGTGAGCCGTCACTGCGATTGGTTACTAAACTGTCACTAATGCACGCATGTCAGTGGTTTGGATTTTTTTTTTTAATTTTATAAAGACATTTCTTGGCTGTCGAACAACGATAAATTCATGCAGGTGAAATTGATGTTGAGTGACCATCGACTATTTTCTCAATTTGAGAACGCTTCTTGATGCTGTTCTGAGAGTTCCTATTCTTCCTGGGTGAACTTATCGTTGCCCAACAGCCAATAAATTACATATTAAATATACAGAGATGAACGTCCTCCGGATTTTCCTGGAATTCTGCGTTTTTCACATTTTTATGAAAATCTCTCTGGAGAATTGAGGAAAATTTGCCTAAAATTAATCCGGATGTTAGTTGACAACATTGAACGGAGACGCGTTTGAGTTTGTTGTTTTGCTTTCACGAGCGTAGCCATGTTGAGACACTAACACTAGTAACAGTAGATTTTCGTCTCTTTATCAACACATTTGCTAAACCCCAGTGGAACGAATAAAATACACCGTGGACAAGACAGTTGTCGAAAAAATATGTTTGGACAAAAATTGAAACACACAGATTGGCAGAA